ACCCAACACCGGAAGGGTGATCAAAGCTGCCATTGTATTGTTCGACGACACCATTAACGTAACCCAGTGTCCCGACCTGACAACGGAAAACATTGCAGTCGCAAAATTGAGGACAGGGACCTGGGAGATGGGAGTGGTGTCTGTCTATCTGGAGAGTGATAAGCCAATCGACCCTTACCTGGACGTGATCGAAAAGGCAGTGGAAGCCTTAGGGACGGTAAACGTGATACTGGGTGGAGATGTGAACGCATGGAACACCTGGTGGGGTAGCCGGGAGGCGGATGCGAGAGGAGTGGACCTGGCTGCCAAACTCGACGAATTGGAGCTCCACATACTCAATAGAGGATCGGATCCCACTTTTGATACTATCAGAGGTGGGAGAAGATTCTCTAGTTGCGTGGACATCACTACCTGCTCGACGAGCCTATTAGGGAGGGTAGAGAACTGGAGGCTTTCGGAAGAAATAACTGTTTCGGACCACAGAGCAATCCTGTTCGATATAAATCTTGAAAAATCAGTTGGAACTGACGTAAGCAGAACAACCAGAAAATACAACACAAAAAGGGCAAACTGGAGTGAGTTTCGTGAGAAACTCCTCCAGATTTGGAACAGCAAAACATTGAACACAACAGAAATAGATAAAATAGAATCAAGACGAGAACTAGAAATAAAAATCGAAGAAGTAACAAAAACAATAACTGAAGTAGCAGATAAACATATACCCAAATTTAAGAACAAAACACGAACAGGATTGCCCTGGTGGACCGACGAGTTAACACAGTTCAAGAAGAAAGTCTCCAGGCTAAAACGTCGAATATCATGTGCAGCACCAATTCGTCGGGAATGGGTTGTGGAGCAGTACCTCAGCGCAAAGGAGGATTACCAGCGAGAAGTCAAGAGAGCCCAAACTTCAAGCTGGAAGACATTCTGCAGCAAACAGGAGCGGGAATCAATGTGGGACGGGATTTATAGAGTTATAGGCCGAACAATCAAAAGGCAAGAAGATATTCCCTTAATCGTTAACGGCGTAACTATGGGAAACCAGGAATCAGCCAAGGTGTTGGCTGACACTTTTTACCCTGAAGATGACACCAGGGGTGACAATGCTGGACACAAGCAAATAAGAGAAGCGGCGAATGTAGTAAACGAAGGGTCACATGATGACTCATGTGACCCACCTTTTACGATAGAGGAGCTGATGTGGTCTGTGTCCAGTTTTAACCCCAAAAAAGCTCCAGGGAAGGACGGCCTCACGGCTGATATCTGCCTAAATTCTGTTTCTCTGAACCCGGTTATGTTTTTGGCAATAGTCAATAAATGCCTAAATCTGGCATACTTTCCGAAGAGCTGGAAAGAAGCGGTCGTAGTAGTGCTGCGAAAGCCTGGTAAAGAGAACTACACACATCCCAAATCCTATAGACCTATTGGGCTGCTGCCTGTGCTCGGGAAAGTCTTCGAAAAGATGTTGATACAAAGAATAAAATGGCACATTACACCTAAACTTAGCCAGAGACAATACGGATTTATGCCGCAGCGTAGTACCGAGGACTCCCTCTATGACATGATGCAACTAATAAAGAGCAAGCTTAAAGACAAAAAGTTAATTGTACTAATATCTTTGGACATAGAGGGAGCCTTCGATAACGCATGGTGGCCGGCAATCAGATGTAGATTGGCAGAATCTGGTTGCCCGATAAATCTGAGACGTCTCATAGACAACTATTTCGAAGACAGAACCGTTAGCATCAGGTACGCAGGAGCAGAACACACGAAAACCACTGCTAAGGGGTGTGTGCAGGGCTCAATAGGGGGTCCTATATTTTGGAACCTGCTGGTCGACCCCCTATTACACGAACTGAGCAAAAATGGGGAATATTGCCAGGCTTTCGCGGACGACGTGGTCCTGTTTTTTTCCGGGGACAGGGCACTTGAAGTGCAGGATCGGGCCAACGCGGCCCTCGCGCATGTTCAGAAGTGGGGAGTCGAAAACAAGCTCAAATTTGCACCTAACAAAACTAAAGCTATGGTAATAACAAAAAAGATAAAATACGACTCACCACTTCTGAAAATGGGTGAGGAGAGCATTGCGTTGTCCAGAGAAGTAAAAATATTAGGGCTTACTATAGACGATAAGCTGACCTTCAACACACATGTAAAAAATGTGTGTTGCAAGGTACAAAGTCTATACGGACAGCTAACAAGAGCCGCCAAGATTAGTTGGGGCCTGAACCCGGAGATCATTAGGACCATTTACGTAGCGGTTACGGAGCCGATCATATTGTACGCGGCTAGTGTATGGGCATCGGCCACGTGCAAGCAGAATGTTAAAAAGCAGTTCGACATGGCACAACGCGGGTTCGTTCAAAAAATAGTAAAGTCCTATAAAACCGTATCCCTCCACTCGGCCCTACTACTCGCTGGGCTGCTTCCTTTGGACCTCAGGGTTCGGGAAGCAGCCTTGCTTTATGAAGTAAAGAAAGGTTACTCCCAGCGAATAGTAGGAGATCGGGACGTGGAACGGAAAATAGAATACACAAAGACACCTCACCCCGCGAATCAGGTTGGGCTGCAGTTTGGATGCCTGGAGGATGGTGCACAAGTCGACCAATACGACAATAAAGGTCTGAAAATATTTACAGACGGAAGTAAAATCGAGGGGAAAGTCGGCGCTGCGTTATCCATTTGGAATGACGCAGCGGAGATAAGTAACCGAAAATTTAAATTGGAAGACTTCTGCACTGTCTACCAGGCGGAGTTGCTGGCCATATACGAGGCAACAAATTATGCACTAAAAGATCCGGCACCGACATGCAATATTTATTGCGACTCAAGATCTGCTCTCCAAACAGTTGTACAAAGTGTTTCCCTCCATCCCCTAGCGGCAAAAACTAGGAAAAATATTTCAGAATTAAATAAAAAAGGAAAATTAATAAAACTATTTTGGATTAAGGCACACGCAGGATTGGAGGGAAACGAGAGAGCAGATGAGTTAGCGAAAGAGGCCGCCCTTAAATTAAAACGTAAACCGGATTACGGGAAATGCCCAATTTCATTTGTCAAGCGACAGATTCGTCTGGGTTCGCTTGACGAATGGAACCGACGTTACGTGGAAGGCGAAACAGCCTCCGTAACGAAGGTATTTTTCCCAGACGCCTTAAGCGCTTATCCCATTGTAAGGAAGCTGCATTTAGACTCGCTCACTGTGCAAGTGATGACAGGACATGGCGGGTTTTCCGAATACTTGCACCGTTTCAAGTGTAAGGAGAGCCCGGCATGTGCCTGTGATCCGATGAAAGAGGAAAGCGTAATACATATTGTAACAGAATGTCCAGTTTATGGAAAGGAGAGAAACGATATTGAAATGGAACTACAATTGAAAATAAGTAAAGAAAACATAAGTATAATAATAAGAAATAAACATGTAAGAAATAGATTTTTAAAATATTGCAAAGTTATAGCCAATAAGGTAGTACATAAGAACAAAAAATAGTATAAAAAGGGCACTGTAAATTATATATAGGCATATAATGTAAACAGTCCCGTTAAATTTGTATAAATAAATAAAAATAAAGTAGATTAAGGTATAATAATAAGTACAATGAATTAGCAAAATAAGACATATGTAATAGAAATAAGAACACTATTGTATAAAGTTTTCAAAAAAGAAAGTAAAAAAGAAAAAAGCAAAAAAGATAAAACAAAAACTTAAAAAGAAAAGAAAAAGTAATGAAATAAAAAATATAAAAAGAGGAAAAAAAAAAAAAAGTCGCTGATCTCCATGTTAGGGGGAACTAGTATAAAAAAAAATAAAAAAAAAAAAAAAAAAACCTAACCTAACCTAACCTAACCTAACCTAACCTTTTTTTTTTTTTTTTTTTTTTCGTGGGGAAATCCTCATGGATACCTCCGGCTGCGGGGGCAACCGGAAGGTTATGCCGGACTCCTACCGGCTAAAACCCCACGGTGCCTCCTCGCACGTGTGCGTGGGGCCGCGGGAATCCAAATTCTTCCGCAGCCCCACACTAGTGCTGGCCCGGTCTGTCCGGGCCTCGTCTCCTGCTCGGGGTAGCGAGGTGTTCAGCTACCCCCCTCCACAGCCTCCAACTCCACCTGCGTATTGGACCCCCCCGAGTCCGATACGCGGAGGCCATGGGGCCCGGAAAAACTAGCACTCAGAAGCACCAGCCTTCCTGACCCCAGCGACGGATCTGGTCTATGGCTCCGCCGCCAACCAAGATTCGGCTGCGGAGGGTAGGGAGAGCGGCGCCTCGCAATACCGACACTCCTCTCCCCCCGCAGCCCCACCACCACCGCATCATTCAACGGTGCGGCCCCGTCTGAGTCGCGGAGGATAGGGCGAGTGGCGCATCGCCATACCAACACTCCTCTTCCTCCGCGACTCCACCTCGGCTGCAGCGGTAGAGGGTTGCGGACTCCCCTCTCACCACAGCCCCCCGACACACATCCGTAGTGGGCTTCCCAAGCCCACTCGGAGTGGCCACCACGGGCCGGCCCTACACCTCGGGCCAGCCAAGGGGTTCCTCTTCGTTCACCGTGGTTGACCAAGCCACGGCTACTAAGCCCCCCCGCCACGACAAGGCGGGAACCCGTTCGGGGGGGAACCTAACCTAACCTAACCTAACCTAACCTAACCTAACCTTTTTTTTTTTTTTTTTTTTTTTTTTTACGGGGGGAAATCCTCATGGACTACCTCCGCCTGGGGATAGGCGGAGGGGCGTGCCGGACTCTTACCGGCTAAAACCACCCCGGTGTCTCCTCACACGTGCGCGTGGGGCCGCGGGAATCCAAATTCTTCCGCAGCCCCACACTAGTGCTGGCCCGGTCCGTCCAGGCCTCGTCTCCTGCACGGGGTAGTGAGGTGTTAAACTACCCCGTGTATCGCCTCAGGGGCGCGCGCCGACACCCGCGCGCGCCTCCGCCTCGGGTCCATCGAGTAGGGGTGGCGGGGGCTTCCCCAAGTCCCTCGCCCCTGGACCCATTTATGGGGGGCGGAAAAGGGCGTTGTCCGCCCTTCTCCTGCGCCCGGTGCGCCTTCTGCGGCCGGGGAAGGGAGTCGAGATCTCCCTTTCCCGTTCCGCAGTTTCCTTCTGCGACATCACGTCCTCGCAGAAAGACACCACTGCATCCCACGACTCTGCGCTACCGACCATCTTCTGCACTAAGGCCGGCAGCGACAGATCGCCTCCTACTTTATTTGTGAGGACACGGCGCTGCTCCTCCCAAGCTACACACTCGGCGAGCGTGTGTTGCGCCGTGTCCTCCCCGCAATGGACGCAGTGGTGGCACCGAGCGTCCGGCTCCCTGTCTATGCGGCGCAGGTACTTGCCGAAGCAGCCATGCCCCGACAGCACCTGCGTCACCCTAAACGACAGGGAGCCGTGCCTTCTCCCGAGCCAGTCGTCGAGTACTGGCCGGATCGCCTCGACGGTAGCGAGGCCTGCGGTAGGGCGCAGAAGCCTTTGCCGCCATTCCGCCACCAAGACCTGACGGAGCTCCTCTCGGCGCAGCGCGATCTGCCGCTGCACCGGCCTCGAGCCCCGTGCCCGCTCTTCCTCGCGCCATCGATATAATGACGCGAGTACTTTCGCCTCTAGGTCCCAGGGCGGGGATCCGGCCAGGACGCAAGCCGCCTCGTAGGAAATCGTGCGATACCCGCGGGCGACTCTGACGGCCATCGCCCTCTGCGGTTTACGCAGAATGGCGAGAGTGCTGGCCGTCATGTCCATCGCCCACACAGGGGCCCCATACAGGGCCATGGACCGCACGATTCCCACGTACAACCGCCTACAGGCGGCGCTCGGGCCCCCCAAGTTGGGAAGCAACGTTGATAGCGCGCCCGCTGCACCCATCAGCTTGGGCGCCAGCCGCCGGAAGTGGGGTCCGAATTCCCATCGGCTGTCGAGCACCAATCCCAGATACTTCATGGTGGACTCGACAGCTATCCGGGCCCCGCTGACCACGATGTGTGAACCCGGCGGCGGCGCGCGTCGAGGGCCATGGAACACCATGGCCTCCGACTTATTTAGGGCCACCTCCAGGCCCAGGCGCCGGATGCGGTTCACCACTTGTGACACCGCAGCCGTGGCAACCAACGCTGCTTCCCTGTGTGAACTCCCCCGGGCAGTGACGAGCGTGTCGTCCGCATAACACGTCAAGTCGGCGCCCGACGGGAGTTCACCTCTCAGCACCCAGTCGTAGCCGATGTTCCACAGGAGCGGTCCCAAGACCGAGCCCTGCGGAACACCGCACGACATGACGCGCCGACCAGCGCCGTCACGTCCCCAATAGGTAACGCATCTCTCCTCAAGGTAAGCCCCTATTGTGCGGCGGAGGTAGGGAGGCACGCGATGGTAATTCAGCGCCTCCCGAATACAACTCCAGGGTAGGGTGTTGAAGGCGTTGGAGATGTCTAAGGACACCGCCAGCACCACCCCACCCCGGGATACTGTCTCCTCCGCCAGGGCCCTCACGCGCGTAATAGCGTCTATGGTGGAGCGCCCGCGACGAAAACCAAACTGGTTCTCGTCCAGGTCCGGCCCCTCTCTGCACAAGTGGCTGACGAAGCGATCTGCGATGATGCGCTCAAGAAGTTTGCCCGCCTCGTCGAGCAGCACTATGGGCCGGTACGCGGACGGTGAGTCCGCGGGGCGCCCCTCCTTCCTGAGCAGGACCAGCCTCCCCTCCTTCCATACACTGGGAAACTGACCCTGCTCGAGACATGCCGTGAAGAGCCCTCTCAGCTGGGGCTCTAGCTCCTTCAGAGCCAGGACGAGAGCTCGACCAGGAACTCCGTCGGGTCCGGGCGCTGTGTTCTTAGCCCGGAGTCGCGACACGGCCGCTCTCGTCTCTGTTTGCGTCACCTCGGGGACATCGGTGCTCTCCTCTTCTGGAGAGTCTGTGGCTGAGGGCGAAGCCATCGCCGGGGGAACGTGTCCCACTCGCTCAGGGAAGAGAGCCGATACCACCGCCTCTAGCAACTGGGGTTGCATCGTTTGTGTTAGTGGAGGCGCCCAGGGACGCAACTTGCCCCGTACCCAACGGTAGGGGCGCCCCCACGGATCCCGATCTAGGGATCCCAGCAGCTCTTCCCTGGCACGCGACTTTGAGTCGCCGATGGCCAGCCACAGAGTCTCCTTAGACGCGCGGTACACCTCATACAGCGCGTCCTCCTCGGCGGGATCCCGTCGACGCCGCCTCCGGTATCGGGTGTACCGGCGACGAGCCGCAACGCACGCTATGCGCAATTGCGCGATCTCGGCGGTCCACCAGTACACCTGGCGCCTTGCGGACCGTTGGTGGACACGGGGCATGGACGCGTCGCAGATCTGCGTCATCGCCCCGCGAAACCATAGCGCCACCGCTTCGACGTCGACGGGGCCGTCCGTCGTCGACTCCCGAATCCAGGACTGGACTAGGGCAGCTTCTTCGAGTAGTTCCCTGTCGATGCGCTTAAGCGCCCAACGCGGGCCGTCGTTAATCGGGGTTGTTGGATGGCGGCCGCTCGCAGTCTGGGCAGAGACGTCGAACCGGATATACCGATGGTCCGACAGCGTCTCCACCTCTGCGGCGACACGCCAGTCGCGGACTCGGCTGGCGACAGAGGGGCTAGCAAACGAGACGTCCACTATCGACCCACCCCGCTGCCGCACGCACGTGTATTCCGAACCCCGATTCAGGACGACCAGACCAGTCGTCACCGTCCACTCTTCTAACACCTCGCCCCGAGGGTCAGTGACCGGAGATCCCCACGCCGATGACTTGGCGTTGAGATCCCCGAGCACCAGAACGGGACGAGGGTGATAGCGGCCTACGACGGCGCCCAACTCGACAAGGAAACCCTCAAAGTCGGCGAGACTCTTGTTGGGGGAGAAATACGCCCCTACAATAACGATGCCGCCCGAGACCGCAGCAACCCAGCCGCGGCCCCGAGACGGGTCGCTCAGAGTCTCGCCAATAATGGCCACCAAACCGTCAGCGCATCCCAACCAGTTGTCACGGGCGGGAATGAAGTACGGTTCGGCGACCACAGCCACGTGAATCGACCACTCTGCCATGCTCTGGAGTAGGAGATCCTGAGCTCTGGCACAGTGGTTGATGTTGCCCTGGAGGAAATGGAGAGAATGGAATCGTGCCATTATTGACATTCCATTCCCTCGGCAACGGTCCTGGGCCGGGAGTCGGCCGCGGAGCTGCTAGCCTGCGAGGGCAGCGAGGTTAACCCGGCAGGCTTAGTGCTCCTCTTCTTTTCCTTTTTCTTTTTCTTGCTGGCAGGCGCCCCACAAGCCCTTCCGCCTACTCTGTGTTCCGCTGGCCTTCCCGCAGCAGAACAAAGGCTGCAGTTGAGCGCCGCGGAGCACAGGGCAGCCTTGTGGCCAGGCTGACCGCAACGATAACAGAGGTCACTACGGTCAACCTCGGCGGTGCACTTCGCCCGGACGTGCCCTTTTTCCAGGCACCGAAAGCACTGCAAAGCCCGGGGCTGTAAGAGCTTGGTCCTTGCCGCCACCCAGCCTACCAGCAATCTGCCGCTATCGGCGATCTTCTTTGCCGACGCTACAGGGCACCGAACCCAGACCGCGCCGAGTCCGGTGGCGTCGGTGCGTATATCGCCAGCCCGCACCTTGTCCGGCGGACACTCTCCGCTTCTGGCAACGGCCGCCACCACCTCCTCTGAGGTCACGGAGTCGTCCAGGCCAGCAATCCGCACCTCTGCGGTTTTCATTGGCCTGGAGACCCGGACGTCCTCTGGGTTGAGGACCTCCCTCATCTTGGCGGCAAGTGCGTCCGCCTTTTCGGCACTGCCGCTCACAGTGCCAGCCACCTCGAACAGTCGTGCACCCGTGGCAGCCTGCCTGAGGGTGACGGACTGAAGGCCAAGATCAGATAATTTGATCTTGGCCTTGGCCTCGGCGATGACCGACTGGTACGTCACGCCACGCTCCACAGCTCCAGGCTGCAACGTTATTGTTACGGCGTTGGACCGCGGAACATGTACAGCCGGTCTCTTGCGACCGCCTTTGGCAGTCCGCTGTGCAGGTTTAGGAGCCGTCTTTGCGGTTCCACCTGGGGCACATGCGGCTGCTGCGGCCTTCTTGGCGGCTTTGCGGGCCTTCTTGCGGCCCACGACTTTCGCCCAGGTCTCACCCTTAGACCCGGCAGTCGTGGGCTGGTTGCTCGGAGGAGCTCCCTCCGCGGGCTTTTTGTTACCCTCCGCGGGCTTCCCCTTTTGAGGCGCAAGTCTCGGCGGCTCCTCAGTCCTCCGCGTGTCAGCCGCTAAAGGCGGACGGAGGATTTCCACCGGGAGACGCCGAGAAATTGCCTCCAGCCGAGCGTTAACCATGCTCCCACACTGGAGCATGCAGAGCCGGACAATGCGCTCGACCTCTTCGTCGGTACGAGGGCTTGCCGGTCGCAGTGCGGGAGTCGGGTCCACTACAGGTGCGGCATCGCTGGACGTGCGTTGCTGCTGCTGCTCGCTTAGCGCAGCAACTTGCCGCCGGAGGTCCTCCAAGTCACTTCTGAGGCGGCTGTTTTCCTCCTGTAACTTTGCGACCTCGTCAGAGGCCGTCCTGTTGAGGAGGATGCCAACCGCCTCCCTGATATCCGCGGCAGCCTCCTTTAAGCCACGGGTGAACGTGCCCTTCAGGCTGCCGGACTTGGTGGCAACCTTCAGGACTAAGTCCACCCCATCCAGAGCCAGCTGGCTTAAGGCCACCGCAGATGGCTCTCCCCCTTCCGCCGCAAGAGCAGCTCGTCGCTCGCGAGCACGTCGGGCCATTTCCGACACTTCGTCGGCCGCGACGGCTTTGCGCTGCTCCCTCTTGGCGGCATTGAGCTCCGCCTTTGAGCTCCCCAGCGAGGCACAGCTTTCACCGCCATCGCCAGGGTCCTCCGTAGTGAACCCCATGTCACTATCTGCTTCGCTAGCCGCCGAGGTATTGGAGCACACGAACCGTCCGTGCTTATCCCTCCGCGGCTGCGAAGCACTCGCCCCTCTAGATGCCTGCCGACCCCTCCCCGAAATCGGCAACTTGGGGGCCGGCAGGCCTTCCTCGTCTGACGATCGGCACACTGGACGTTTCCTAGCGGAAGACGTCCCACGCGATCGATTTCCGCCGCTACCAGTATCTGATCCTGCCTTTTCTACCTCTACTGTTTTTTTTAAATATTTTTCTTTGTCCATTTTTATCCCACGAGTGTGGAGGAAATAACAGTCCATCCGAGCAGAGCCCCCTTTGCCCGGATAAGCCTATGCGTAACCCGTCAAGGGTGTCGGCCGGTACCCCGACGGGGGCAACGCTAACGACTGAACATTAACCCATCAGCCATGCAGCTCCTCACGGCGTGCCACGCTTGAGCTTCGGGTGATTTTTTAAAGAGGTTATCATCCTCGCGACTCCAGGCGGTTAAGCCAAGAGCCCTCGGCCCCTTAGGCGCCGCGAGACGTGATCCACGACACGCCATAGGGATTCCGAGGTTCGAATGGTGGCAGAGTCGATACGGGTTCTTCCCATGCCTGCCCAGAGACCGGGTTAGGGAACACTGAGCCCATTCAGTTTCCTTTTTTTATAGGGTGTGGTCCCTGAAAATCCCGCGATTACGGGTTGCCCGGCGTCGGCAAAAGCCGAGTGCACCTGGCACCTCACCGCGCATGTCACATTCTCTGTTCCTCTCAAGGGAGAGGATACAGGAAGCAACTAATAGGCCCTCCGCTATGCAAACAAGCCCTCACCCAGCCAGTTTTGGTCCGCGACGGTTTCCCGCTACCACCCATATCTGAGTGGCGTTCCCCTATCCGCCACCTGGGGACGCGCCCGATGGGAGCTCTGGCAACTCCACACGGGAACCTAACCTAACCTAACCTAACCTTTTTTTTTTTTTTACGTGGGGAAATCCTCATGGATACCTCAGGCCGCGGGGGCAACCGGAAGGTTATGCCGGACTCCTACCGGCTAAAACCCCACGGTTCCTCCTCGCACGTGCGTGCGGGGCCGCGGGAATCCAAATTCTTCCGCAGCCCCACACTAGTGCTGGCCCGATCTGTCTGGACCTCGTCTCCTGCACGGGGTAGCGAGGTGTTAAGCTACCCCCCTCCACAGCCTCCAACTCCACCTGCGTATCGGACCCCCCCGAGTCCGATACGCGGAGGCCATGGGGCCAGGAAAAACCAGCACTCAGAAGCACCAGCCTTCCCGACCCCAGCGACGGATCTGGTCTATGGTTCCGCCGCCAACCAAGATTCGGCTGCGGAGGGTAGGGAGAGCGGCGCCTCGCAATACCGACACTCCTCTCCCTCCGCAGCCCCACCACCACCGCATCATTCAACGGTGCGGCCCCGTCTGAGTCGCGGAGGATAGGGCGAGTGGCGCATCGCCATACCAACACTCCTCTTCCTCCGCGACTCCACCTCGGCTGCAGCGGTAGAGGGTGCGGACTCCCCTCTCACCGCAGCCCACCAACACACATCCGAAGTGGGCTTCCCAAGCCCACTCGGAGTGGCCACCTCGGGCCGGCCCTACACCACGGGCCAGCCAAGGGGTTCCTCTTTGTTCACCGTGGTTGACCAAGCCACGGCTACTAAGCCCCCCCGCCACGACAAGGCGGGAACCCGTTCGGGGGGGAACCTAACCTAACCTAACCTAACCTAACCTAACCTAACCTAACCTAACCTAACCTAACCTTTTTTTTTTTTTTTTTTTTTACATGGGGAAATGCCTACGCATACCCGCCTCGCGGGGGCACGGACGGGTTATGTCGGACTCGCACCGACTAAAACCCCATGGTGTTCCACCCTCGTCGCAAATTGGCAGGGCCACGGGAACGCTTTCGCACACATCCGCGGCCCCACCTGCGCTGGCCGCCCCATGGCGGTCCCTCCTCGGGAGAGGACTACTCCTCCCCCATCTCCCTCTCAGATAAGGCGCACCAGAACACATGGCGCGCCCTCCTCCTCGGCCTCCAATTTCACATGCGCAACGGACGCCCCCGTGTCCGATGCGCGAAGGCCATGGGGCCAGGAAAAACTAGCACTCAGAAGCACCAGCCTTCCTGACCCCAGCGGCGGATCTGGTCTATGGCTCCGCCGCCAACCAAGATTCGGCTGCGGAGGGTAGGGAGAGCGGCGCCTCGCAATACCGACACTCCTCTCCCCCCGCAGCCCCACCACCACCGCATCATTTAACGGTGCGGCCCCGTCTGAGTCGCGGAGGATAGGGCGAGTGGCGCATCGCCATACCAGCACGCCTCTTCCTCCGCGACTCCACCTCGGCTGCAGCGATAGAGGGAGCGGACACCCCTCTCGCAGCATCCCACCGACACACATCCGAAGTGGGCTTCCCAAGCCCACTCGGAGTGGCCACCTCGGGCCGGCCCTACACCACGGGCCAGCCAAGGGGTTCCTCTTTGTTCACCGTGGTTGACCAAGCCACGGCTACTAAGCCCCCCCGCCACGACAAGGCGGGAACCCGTTCGGGGGGGAACCTAACCTAACCTAACCTAACCCAGTTCCGTGCTTACCGCTGTCGCGTAAACATCGTTTTGAAGGCGCTCCGTCGTTAAAAAATTCGAAAAATAGGCAAAAGTAGTCGTATCCTTGTGAAATTTTCAGTAAGTGATCATTGTTGCGTTGGTGATACTTGTTAAGTGTTTGATGTCAGCGTGTCTTCGAAATTTCTGGAAAACTGGAGGTCAAAGACAAAGAAACCACGTGTAAGTTAAAATTTTAACTATAAAAGTGAATACGCTGCAAGTAGATGATCTATAACCTATACTTATTTATAGGTCTTTTTAAAGGTCTTCTTTTGCTCTGTCTACTCCTATAAGTTTCAGATTTTTCTGCTGAGAAACCGCTGAGATACAACCAAAAAAGTAAAAACCACTTGGCAACCAAAATTTTTTCCAGAGCCGTGCGGCTAAATTTTGGAGTGCAGGGTTACTTGGGCACGCATTCTGAACTATCTAAAATTTGTTTCACGAGGATCAAGTTAGTACTCAAAAAGTTATAGCATAAATTATAAAATTAAAAAAAGTTCAAAAATTGAACAGTTAATAATTTTTATTTTTAAGCGATAACACATCATTTTTATTAAAGTTTCAACTAAAAAATATATCAAAGTATAAAAATTGAAAAAAATTAAATTATTTTTTCAAGCGATTTTGGCATAATAAATTTTTTCCTTAAACAACACTCCCACGTGGTCCACTTAATAAAAGCGTGCGGCTGATTTTGAAATAGGAAATAGGTAGAATTCTTTTTTCCTAATAAAGAACCGTTTTCAGATTGAAATTATCTTAAAAATCTTAGGAGTTATTGAATTTTTAGTAATTTTTTAGTGTTTTTATCTTATAAAAGTTTAAATAATTAAAAATCATTAATTTTTGCTTTATCATTAAATAGAACTATCAAACCCCTTTCCAAAGAGCCCAAACTCGATAAGGTTATCTGTTACCGTTCGGAAACTGGAAATATTTTGAATAATAGGACGCCATTTTGAAAAACTTTAAATTGAAATTACTCGTAAAATTCAAATCATAAACAGGTCGTGTTTGGACTTATTAGAATTGGCAAGGACTTTTCTACCAAGATTTGCATTCAAAAAGAATACTTCACTAAATTACCTGAAATCGGGTTAATTACATAGATCTCGACTTCCTCAACACAAAGAACCCAAACACAGTATTTCAAAAAGTTTTTGTTCCACAGTTATAAACGAAAATATATTTTTGGCCGCCATATTGAAAAACTTTAAATTTAAATTACAAACGAACTATAGGTGATAGGATAGTCGAGTTTGGACTTATTAGAATTACCAGAATCTAGCCAAAGTAAATCCATAAAAAATATTTCCGGCCGCCATATTGAAATTTTTTAAATTTAAATTACTCACGAACTATAGGTGATAGGATAGTCGAGTTTGGACTTATTCGAATTGCCAGAACCTAGCCAAAGTAAATCCATCAACATTTTCCGACAGCCATATTGGAATTATTTTAAATTTAAATAACTTATGAACTATAGGTGATAGAATAGTCGAGTTTGGACTTATTTGAATCATCAGGACCTAACCAAAATAAATCAGTCGAAAGATTTTAGCTAGCATAATAAAACAAAAAAAAAGAAAAGGAAAATAAATCTAATTACATAGGAATTTTGAGAGACAGGATATCTGAAGAGGAAAAAAAAATGTATAAGCCAACATCGGGAGCGTCTTCAGTGTCTTCTATTAAAACAAAATCATCAACCAAATCTGCTAGAACTACCGCTGGCAGTGCAACACTGCGGAAGAAAGTTTTAAAGCAAAATGCTAACACTACTGTAAAAGAAATAGGTGATGATGACACAACGTTCGAAACAGCACAGGCCCCATCGGAATCATCACCAAATTCAGAGGCTTTAAATATTGAGGGAAAATACCCACTTGGAAAACTTGAAATGACCGAACAAGATTCCGATGACAATAGCTCTTTAGCAATGGATATGGAGGCGGAATTGCAGGTATTAGGAATTTGTAAGCCGGCCCTACGTACGGACGATGAATGGTCAGACGCTGATAGTGTGGCTAGTGTGCATAGTAAAAGGTCCAGTATCTTACCGCCTGCATACAAGAAAGCAGGTATTTCAATGGACCTGGCCACCCAAAGAGCAAATGAATTCTTACAATCCGGCAAAGAAGCGCTAGAAAAAGCCGGCAATATGAAAAAAGAATGCAAAATCGAAGTGCACGAATGTTTACAAGGCTTATATGAAGTAGCGTTATCTTTGTCCGATTCTCGTTCACGTCACCGTCTCGCGCTAGAGCAAGAGCGTTGTCGAGCTGCAAAGGAATTAGTTAGGGTAGAACGTGCTCACACCAAGCAAATAGCAGAGTTACAGTCAACGTTTTATCAGAAACTTAAGGAAGCGCATGAGAGTATTCGAGAGACGTTTAAGTCAGCGGAAGCAATTCGCAGCTGGCTCAACTATGAGATGGATGAGCCAATTAAGTCCATACAAAACATCCAACTTGAGCTGCGTGGATTAGCAACAACAACAGTCCCATCAAAAGCTGCCCTCGAATTTACTCATGAACAACCTGCCGTCACAACGGAGACGTTAATGTTATTGTCTGGACAAATCAAAGACATATCAGAAGAAATTAATAACTTGATAAATAAAATAGACACCCTAGAAAGCAGGCCAATAGA